TATGATTTTTTCTCAGTCCTTTTTTTGAACCATTCTGAGAATGAAATACAATGAATTGAATAAACTGGTTCATTTTTTGTTCTCCATAGTGTTTTGGGAATAAAAAGTGTCGGATAAATGAAATATTAAACTTGAAATAATGATGGGATTTTGACTAACAACTTGAAAAGATTCCTCATTATATGAAAAGTTAAAGTTTATTTGTCGGTTGCATTTATTTGCTTTGTTTCACTCCAACAATTCCAACACTCGAATTGAAATTTTTATCCTCTTTTCATGTTTATCATCTTTATCATCTTTATGGTCAAATTGATGGTACCTTATCCATTATACTGTCCAGTCACAGCTTTTACAATTTACCTCTGTTTTTATACCTTTTTGTGTTCAATTTTCTCTCTCCTGCCTTCAACCTTTCCAACTCTTTATCTTTAATCTTACTTGATGTGTACAAGTATCCATCTTATTCATCTTCAATCATTCGGTGCAATTTATTTCCGATTCAACTGTTCATTACTTAGCCATGTATCTTTTATCACCCTGCTATTATCTTTAGCCTTTCTTCCTTTGATCCAATTTAGTCAAATTGATTAGTAAAGATGATCAAAGTTAATCCCTCTTATTAGGTTGTCCGGCTCAAAGTGGCGGAACTTTTATTTTGAATATTTCATTTATACCTGAATCAATTCAGTCAATTTTTTAAAAATTATTTAAGCAAAGATTCAGAATTTTTTTGACACATCTTAAACCCTTTAGACATTGGTAATTCGAAAGTAATTAGATAAAAATCGAAAAATGGCAATTTTGTGAATTTCGAACTTTGTGGCTTTATAGCGTTGTTACCGATGAAAAATTTTTCAAAGTCATTTCGTCTAATTATAGTAATTGGGTTGATTAAAAATCACTTTTCTCAATTTTTATCCTGATCACCAAGTTTTCGAGAAATGTTCGATTAAAAAAGTTTCTATCGCGAGCAAATCACAGGGGGGACCCTTGGTTTTTTAGAAAATTTTGAGCCGCACGAAATTTCATTTTTTTGATTTTTTTCCAATAAATTTCGAATTAGAAAACGGAAAATTATAAATCATGTATCATAAAAATTCTGCATCCTTCCTTATATGATTAGCAAAAGAGTGTTTTAATTGCTTCGATTAACAATAAAATATTAACATTTAAAG